TGTTATTCTCCTATGGATGTTAGTCATTAGAAGAGAAAAAGCTAAAGAAATAAGGAGCAAAATAAGAAACACAAAAGAAAACAAAAGCAAAAAGAAGAAGGAGAAGGAAAAGACAAAGATGTTATGGCACCTTTAACTACTATATTTTAATGTGAATTTCCATGGAAAAACTCCACAAAAGTTCTTCAGACATAAGAGTGAGAATACAGAGAAAACATATATGACTCTAAGATAAAAGAGACAGTGGTGGCTGGCAGATTCAAGATACAGAATTTCACACCTAGTTATATTTAAGACCCCTGTTTTGTGTACAGTTCTTTTATTTTGAAGCATTGTTCTCTAAACAGCAAGAATTATTATTGGCTAAAGGAACTCCAAGCTATAGAAACAACAGCAGAAATAGCATATGGTAATGAGTTAAGAATCATTGACTTTACCTTTGAAGTTTGTTCAGTAGAGGTGGCTGTGGTTGGGAAGGAACCTAACTATGGAAAATGACAGTAGATAACGACATAATTATTGTAGCATTTCACATCTGATAATGGCTTAAGAATCTCTGGCTAATATTTGATCTGTTGAGATGGATTTTAACTATATGTTTTATCTTAGCTGTTTCCCTCTGGAATTTTGTTTTGTAATTTTTCTTCCCCAGAATAGCAACTAGTACAGTACAGAGGGACATTGTTGGCAAAAGATGGCATAGATCACATTAGTAGAGGAAGAAGTAAAAGCCGCCCATGTTTTGTGTGACATTGTTGGGTCCTGTGACTGTGTTGCCAAAGTGAATATGGGGCAGAGCTGGTGTCTGGGTTTTCAGTAACGAATAGTCTCTATTGCTGTGTCCATGTTGTGTGTCAATAGTTGCTTGAGATTGTGGGGTTGTCTGTAAGCAAGTATGAGTCTGCCACCAAGTGCTTGGAGGAGTGAATTATTCTTGTGAAATCATTTGGAGACCATTTATGATACATGTGAATGGTCTCATTTGCAGGCTAAAAATGACAACTAGCAACATTGCTGACTTATGCCTTGAGCAGATGAGGTTGTCTTGCAATTGTTTGTCTTTTCTATAGCCTTAGTGGAATAACTGCTGGATGACATTAGGCAAACCTGGTGGAGCTGGCCTCTTTCTTCTTAGGAAGGATGCTGTGTATATATGATTGTGTCAAATGCCTGTTGTATGTTTGGAACTCTCATCATATATTTAGGCCATATTGTTTGTCAACCAAAACTTGCTGTCTAGGACTTCTCAGGTTTTCAACGTGTGATGGATACTGCTGTGGCTTTTGCTCTTAATTATCTGCAATAACATGCAAATTCTACCTATAGCAAATGTTGAGAGTGCACAGATGCTAACTACTTTATGAGAGACTGAATGAAACAGAAGCTGCCTTGAATAAAACTTTTCCACTGGATGCTTATGCATAGAAGATTTTATCTAAATAGATCCTGATTCTTCCTCAAGGTTTTTGTGTCTTTTTGTCAGTGTGGAGGTGAACTGTGTTACCATCTATAGTAGGTCTGGGGAATCTGTGATTATCCAAATGTTGAACACCAAGTCCCATTAGCTGTAACCCAGCCTGATCAACCATAAGGTATGGTGGGAATATGAACTCACCAACATCTGGTGGGCCAAAGACTCCTCAACATTGCCCTACAGAATAGCTAACAGTACTGCCATTTTTATTTGCAGGTCACATGCTATTAGAATTATTAGAGACATAATTATGGTAGTCACCAATGATAAATATGTAAATATGCTTGGTTTGCAACTCAGAGTCCTAAAGTTCAAATTCTTCTTGTTCTTGAGTGTTATCTCTAAAGTAGTAAAACTGGTCACACAGTACAACAAGAAAGTGCTGATGTAAGTTCTGCTGCCATGTTGACTTTTAATATTCTGATGTGCCACAAACATTTACTCAAGCAGAAAATGGAAGGCTTTAAGATTTCTTAGAAGGAGGCTAATAAAACACTCTGCCAAAATACAGATAGTAACCACAATGGCTCTGACAATCTTGGGTTCCACTGAAACCTTTGGGGCAAGTACATTGTTGCTACTAAATGAAATCCTACCTATTTTTCTTACGTTATTTTCAGCAAAACATAAACACAGGTGACTTTAATCATACTAGAGCAGGAAATGAGTGGCAAGCAACGTCAACTGTGGGCAATGTGCATGTGTGCTTCTATGTGAATATATGTTCCAAAGAAAACAACTGTGTGTATGGCGTCAACTGTGGGCAATGTGCATGTGTGCTTGTATGTGAATATATGTTGTTCCAAAGAAAACAACTGTGTGTATGGTGCCTTCCATGTATAATGCTCAACACTGAAATGGCATGGTGATAAAAGCCTAAGTGCAACTGTTAGCCTCAACTAGAATAGATCCATTGATTTAATTGGTGTATTCTAATTGAGACTAACAATAGGGTTTAGCTCACAGTCATATTTTTCAACATCCTGACACAAAGTTACATCATTAATAGTACCTTCTGCTGAATGTGAATTGTAGTTTCAGAGTGCTTTTCTGAATTAGCTGACAATAAATATATATACTTAATGAAACTCAAAAATATTACTAGTAAAAAACAAGGGTGGTAACAAACTACATTGTGTTGTGTAAATGCTAGTGTTATGCCCCAAACATCACACTTTAAATGTGAAAAGTGTGCCATAGTTTATAGTGAAAGTCAATACTGCCCACACCACACTACCCAAAGGTCTCTGGGCGGCTTACAAGGATGATAATTATTCTCATTATCTTTAGGTGAGCACTGCCCTGCAAGAGGCAAAAAGGACTAATTTGGTGGGATAGAGAAACTAGATAATAGCATCCCCTGTCCTTTATGCATATTAAACAAAATTCACTAATTTAAAATGCAATTTTGCTAAGACAAGCAACAAAGTATTTTACCCAAAGGTCTCTGGGCGGCTTACAAGGATGATAATTATTCTCATTATCTTTAGGTGAGCACTGCCCTGCAAGAGGCAAAAAGGACTAATTTGGTGGGATAGAGAAACTAGATAATAGCATCCCCTGTCCTTTATGCATATTAAACAAAATTCACTAATTTAAAATGCAATTTTGCTAAGACAAGCAACAAAGTATTTTACATGTGTGTGTGGGAAGAATTCTGGGAGAAACTTATCATGTTTTTCAGTCTTGTTCTTGGGTATATAAAGCTTTAAACTGTGAGACATAAATTTGAATTAAGAGGGTGGATTATCATTATTTAGTGTGTGGTTAGGTCAGAATCCTATTGATTATTTACACTGGCATAATTGCAAGAGTGTAAAGTTGCAGTGGACTTCCTCCAACACCATGTTTCAAATAAATCAATAATGTATACTTCTTCTTTGTCCAGCTTTCACATCTATACATAGTAATTAGGAATACCATAGTATAGATTATCTTTGCCTTGGCCTCCAGTGACATATTCTTACACTTAAGAATCTTTACTAGTTCATTGCTCCACTTCCAAGTTTCAGTCCTCTAATTTCTTGGCTGCAGTCCTCATTTTGACTGATGATTGAACTGAGGTGAACAAAATCTTTAATAATTTCAATTTCTTCATTGTCGATATTAAAGTGTCTATTACATAGACATGATTTTTATCTTAATTTTAACTGATTCCCAGTGTGGTGTAGTGGACAGAGTGATGGACTGGGAATCTGGAGAACAGGGTTCAAATCTGTACTTGGCCATGGAAACACAATGGGGAAGCAGAACTGATAAAACCACTCCTTAAATATCTCCCTTATATTGAAACCTCTATTAGGGCTGCTATAAGTCAGTTCTGACAACAGCACAGAACACGTACACAATGTTCAACTGCAGTCCTGCTTTGACTCTTCTCTCCTCTTCATCAGGACTCATTTCAAGTCATTGGTGCTTTCTACCAGTAATATGGTGTTATCCACATACAGTACCTTGAATTATAGATGTCCCTTCTGCTAATTTCCTCTTTCTTCATCTCAATCTAACACAGTTCTTCATATGATAAATTCTGTATACACACTGAAGAGACAGATTGATAAAAAATTCCCTTGTCTGACACCTTTGCCTATGTGAAATCGTTCTTTTTCTCCATATCTTGTCCTAATAGTAGCTTCTTGTCCTTGGTATAGGTCAGTGGTTCTTAACCTTTGTTACTCGGATGTTTTTGAACTGCAACTCCCAGAAACCCCAGTCAGGACAGCTGGTGGTGAAGGCTTCTGGGAGTTGCAGTCCAAAACTCCTGAGTAACCCAAGGTTAAGAACCAGTGGTATAGGTTATGCATCAGGACACTCAACTGCTGATGTGGACTTTTTTTTTTTTAGAGTAGTCCATAATTTTTCATGATCTACACAGTCAAAAGCTTTGCTGTAATCTGTAAAACACAAACTGATCTGACTTTGCATTGATGTTGGTATAACTAATTAACAGAATTCCAGCTGTTATCTTCCAATAATTATATGCATATCAACTTGGAATACAGATGAACTTTTTTAAAGTCAAAAATCCTTTGTGGCATTTGTTATACATGGTATAACATAGTTTGCATATTTTAACTGTATTTGATGTCTAAAAGTGGAAGCAGTGAGTCATCTAGTAAGTGAGGACCATTTGGTGCATAAATAGATGTTGTCTGAAAGTTGTGTGTTTGTGTTGTCTACCCTACTGAGTACAAAAAAGACAATCAAGATTTAACTACCAGTGATGTATACCACAGATTAATTAACAGCACCCTTTGTTTATTTTATGTGAGATTACTGTGCTGGTAAATAAACATAGGTACTTCTAACTCTTCTTGATATACAAAATGGAGAAGTACATAGGTAAAATTTGTTATACGGCATGTATTTTACTACTCTTTGTTATATATATAATTTTAAAAGAAATACGTAATTTAAAGATCCTATTTTGGCTCTGCTGGTTTGTTTATAAAAAAGGGGCTAAAGTCCATGGATATTGTATGCTAAACATTTTCAGGTTGGTGATTGGTGATTTTGTTCTTGTTTTCCCACAGAGAAAATCAAAGTCCCCAGAAATAATGCGGTAAGTGTTTATGTTGTAGAATTCAACATCACTATTCTTGGAGGTTATCTGTCTTCTGAGATGAAACAATCTGTGCTCTAAAGTTTCTTCCTGTTGCTTTCCAGAAAATAAATCTAGGTATTGAATTTCATCTATGAAGTCTAAAAAACCTTTTTATATATGTGATTTATTTTATTTTAAAGTCAACCCTCAACTTACGAACGTCCCTAGATACGAACTTTTCGATTTATGAACTGCTCCGTTGGCAAAAATTGGCATCGACTTGCGAACAGAGCTTGACCTACAAATGAGGTTGAGACTCCGTTCGCAAATCAATGCCATTTTTTGTGAACAGAGCCTTTCGTAAATTGATCCCTGCAAAAAGGCAGGGAGAAAGGGGGCAATTTTCTGTGAACACAGCTTTTCGTAAATTGATCCCTGCCTTTTTGCCTTCAGAGCTCTCTTAGGGCTTTCCCCCCAACATCGGAGAAAGCCCTTCGAGAGCTCCAAAGCCCAAAAGGCAGGGAGAAAGGGCGGGAAATTGGAATTCCCAGCCCTTTCCCCCTGCCTTTTTGCCCTTTGCAATGCTGGAACAGATTAATTCCATTCCCATGCATTTCAATGGGAAATGGTACTTCGACTTACGAACTTTTCGATGTACGAACATCATTCTAAAACGGATTAAGTTCATAAGTCGAGGTACCACTGTACTTATTTGCGTACAACAAAAATATCCCTTTGATGACAATCTAGAATGGATCTAAGAAGGTTTAAGCCATCTAAACTTTAAGAAAAGATTTTACTGAACTACTAGGTTAGCCTGCAGTCTTAATAACTTGCAAGCTTTGAAAAATTATTATTGAGCAACATCTCCCAGAATCCTCCATCCCAGTGTCCCCCCGTCTGGGGAAGATTTGGGGAGTTTTATTTCAAAAATAGCTTACCAAAGTTCTGCCCAGCTGAGGGGATAAGTTGTTGTTGGTTGTTGTTTAGTCGTTAAGTCGTGTCCAACTCTTCATGACCCCATGGATCAGAGCATGCCAGGCCCTCCTGTTTTCCACTGCCTCCCGGAGTTGGTTCAAATTCATGTTGGTCACTTCAATGACACTGTCCAGCTATCTCATCCTCTGTCATCCATTTCGCCTCTTGCCCTCACACTTTCCCAACATCAGGGTCTTTTCCAGGGAGTCTTCTCTCTTGAGATGGCCAAAGTACTGGAGCCTCAGCTTCAGGATCTGTCCTTCCAGTGAGCACTCAGGGTTGATTTCGTTCAAAATGGATAGGTTTGTTCTCCTTGCAGTCTAGGGGACTCTCAAGAGTCTCCTCCAGCACCACAATTCAAAGGCATCAATTCTTCGGCAGTCAGCATTTTCTGTGGTCCAGCTCTCACTTCCATACATCGCTACTGGAAAAACCATAGCTTGGACTATGCGGACTTTGTTGGCAAGGTGATGTCTCTGCTTTTTAAGATCCTGTCTAGGTTTGTCATCGCTTTCCTCCCAAGGAGCATAAAGAAGAGGGGATAATACTTAATAATTAATTTTTATCCACTCTATTCTGTGGGTCGGACATCACCACACAGGATCATTGGGTAGCTATTGGGGTCACACCATTAATGCCTTCCCTTTGCTTTCCTTGGTAAAAAGATATGGATCTGGGGCCTGCAATATGGGCGGCCACTAACACTTAGCCAAAGTTGAAAAAAAGCATATGGAACAAAGAAAGGTGTAGATTTGTATGATTTTTGTATATTTGAATTTAATTGTATAGATGCACCTTGAGACATAAATAGAGATACAAGACGTTTCATCATGTTGGAGAAAACTGTGCTGGGGCAATCTGTGTGTCTGCTCAGTCTGCCCTCTGTGTGCTATTGATGGTCAGTTTAAAGATTCCGGCTTTTGCTTCCTGTGCTTAAAAACATCTTTAAACCAGGCTTGGACAAGGAACAGCCTTTCAAATAGAGCACACATTCAACTGAGAGCCTTCCTCTGATAGCACTTTAAACGGAAGACTGAAAAGAGCAATGCATGGCCTTCCCACCTGTGATTCTGGTTTTCTGCAATGATTCAGAGTGACAGCACTCAGACTCAGCTATCAGGTACTATCAGGCAATCTGAACTCAATCTGCTATCGAGACAGAGGCTCGTGTAAGAAACAAGGCACAGAGTTTGGGTGACTGAAATAAATCTTATTTTCTGCCTGTTGCTGGAACAAATAGGGCATTTGGACTCTAGTTTAAATAGACTTACAAGCAAATAAATTTTTTTTTCCAAATATATGTTCTAGAAGCACTTACGTAATTGTAATGTGATATTTTTCTGTTTCAGCTTTTTTTTTAAAGTCACATCTGGGTGCAATTTATTCTACACCTTCATAATTATTAATCTTTTTCTTGTTTTTCCTACTCCATCAGCCTGGTTGCTTTGGTTACCCGCTCAGCATCTTCTTCATTGTCATCAATGAGTTCTGTGAAAGATTCTCCTACTATGGGATGCGAGGTGATTTTTTCCCCCTTTAGTCTAGTTCTATATTTGTGTCTGCAGAATGCTCTCCCTCATTACTCACTGTTATCATGTCATTATTTCCTCCCCTGTAGCTGTGCTTGTTCTCTACTTCAAGTTTTTTCTCAGCTGGGATGACAATCTTGCTACTGCCATTTACCACACATTTGTTGCCCTCTGCTATCTAACACCTATCCTTGGAGCACTGATAGCTGACTCCTGGCTAGGGAAGTTCATGTGAGTACAATCGCACAATCATTGTGTGGGAGATGCAACTGGACAGGATAAAGAGATTCATATTCATTATTTGAGCATGGCTGTGTTTTGTCCTGCAAATACTGGTTGATGATGGAGCTTATATCCTTAGCCCCTTTGTGGAACTTTTATCTTTAATTCGGAATTGAGTGCAGTGGCTTCCAAAAAGTCCTAAGTAGATCCTGGTATAGGCTAAGACTGGGGGGGGAGTAGAATTCCTCTTCCACAGAACCCACCAATGCCTTGTGCTTTTTACAGCTTCATGCTAGTCAGGAATTCATCACACATCTTTCCCTAATAGAGATGTTGTGATGAAATACATTTGCTCTGTTTTATGTTTCCCTTCCCCCCCCCAATGGGCCTTGTGGGGCAGATGAAATACATTTGCTCTGTTTTATGTTTTCCTTCCCCCCTCCATGGGCCTTGTGGGGCAGTGGTTAAACTGCAGTCAACACTCTGCTCAGTCCAAGCTAGCCACCTCGAGACTCACTCACCCTTCCACCTGAGGTTGTTAAATTGAGTACCCAGTTTGCAGGGGGGGCGGGATGTGTAGCCTGCATAATTCAATTGTAAACTGCACAGAGAGTGCTTTAAGTGTTATGTGGCAGTATATAAACAGCACACTTCACTCCCCTCACCCCAAATTCTACATAAGATAGGCTTTTGTTTGGCTTTTGTAAAAACAGGGATATTTTCAGGTTTTAAAAACTGGCAACCACACATTTGTTTTCAACACAATTAAGAAATGTATGACATTTGAAGGCTTATGATATTATTTGCACAGCATGATGCAGATGCTATGCTAAACATATATTTTTTTTTGAAAGATTTTGCAGATTCCACAATTCAACTTGTAGCACAAGCCATAATGGCATGGAATGTTGGGGAGGGTGTTTAACCGAGAGTTAATCTTGCAAATGAAGTATAGTATTTCATATTTTAAAAACAGTGCATTTAATAGACAATACTGAAACACAGATGGGCAAACTGCATCAAAGACAGCACGTGTGTAATAATTTGTTACAGACTGTAACAGAGTATCAGGAATGTTTGCCACAAAAAAATTAGCAGATGCGTAGTTCTCATATTGCCATTGCCTGGTTCTTCAGTTCTATTCTGTCTGTGTGGGAGTGACCTTAAATTTACTGGACTGGGAATTCCTGTTTTATGGGAGAGTGTAGATCCCACACATTATATCTGTGGCATGTACAAATTGTATCGGGATAGTTACATAAGATATAATAATGCATGCAAACATTGATGCTCTCATTACTGTAGAACTGAGGAACATGGCAAACAATAACCAACAGAATTTGCTGTTACTTTTTCTCAATCTGAACAGTCATTTTGATCAGTAATGGCTGCATGCAGGCCAATATTAGAGCATGTGTTTTGCCTGAAGGTAGATTTACCTTCCTGGTGTCTTCAACCAGGACTTGAAAACCTGGTGCTTCTATCCAAAAACCAATTTAGAGCTACTTCAAGTCCATGTACACATGCGGAAGGCAATCTGTGTAAGCTTGGGGGGGGCAGTTTTCTTCCTCCAGGCCTCCTTAAAGTCTGCACCGTCTACGAGGGATAAAAAATGAAGTAGCTGAAACTTTACTTCTGCTTTTGTTTGTTCGTTTGTTTTGACAGCTGGGGGGATTGTTTGTTTGTTTGTTTGTTTTGACAGCTGGGGGAAAGCAAGATGGGGGGCATATAAGATTTTGTTTTAAATATGAATCATCACCACAGGAGGCTTCCAAAAGCAGAAATCTCCTTTTCCTTTTTCTCTCATCTCCTTTCCTCTTTCTCTCTCCTCTCTCTCCTCTCCTCTCTCCTTTCCCCCTTTCCTTTCCTTTCCTTTCTCCTTTCCTTTCCTCTTTCTCCTCTTTCCTCTCTCTTCTTCCCCTTCCCTTTCCCTTTCTAGGCAGAAGAAGACATTGAGGTACTGTCTAAGTGGAACCCAGGGCAGCAAAAATGCTGTGGGGGGCTGTATAATGCTCCTGGTTCATTAATTGGTTTGTTAACCAGATGCACAGGTACAGGACAGGTGGTACCTGGGTCGACAGTAGTACCTGTGAGAGGGATTTAGGTGTCCTGGTGGACCACCACCTAAGGATGAGTCAGCAGGGTGCTGCAGCTGCCAAGAAAGCCAACACAGTCCTAGGCTGCATCCACAGGGAGATAGCATCAAGATCACGGGAAGTGATGGTACTACTCTATAACCGCGCTGGTGAGGCTGCACTTGGAGTGCTGTGTCCATTTCTGATCACCACAATACAAAAAAGACACTGAGGCCCTGGAAGGGGTGCAGAGAAGAGCAACAAAAATGATAAGGCTAAATCCTATGAAGAATGACTAAAAACACTAGGTATGTTTAGCTTAATGAAGAGAACACTGAGCAGAGACATAACAGCAGTCTTCCAATATCTAAAGGGTTGCCACAGGGAAGAGGACATCGATTTCTTCTCCATTGCACCTGAGGGTAGGACAAGAACCAATGGGTGGAAACTCGTCAGAGGGAGATCCAACCTGGAAATAAGGAGGAATTTCCTGACCGTGAGAATCATTAAGCAGTGGAACAGCTTGTCTCCTGTTGCTGTGGGTGCCCCATTGCTGGAGGTTTTCAAGAAAAGATTAGACAGCCATCTGTCCAGGATGGTATGAGGTCTCCTGCCTTGGGCAAGGGGGATGGACTAGAAGACCTCCAGGGTTCCTTCCAACCCTACAACGATCCTATGATTGATTGACTGAGCTGTTCATCTTTTACTCTGATTTCCTATCTGACATATTCAGTCATAGAAACTGAACAAAATAGGATGTTGAGGATGAGAAAAGTAAAGCTATTATTTGCATATGTTCAGTAATATCACGTTCACATTTTTGTTGTCATGGTACATTTGTTCAAACACACAATTCATATTCAAGAAACAAGGAAAAAGGGACTGTGCTATTAAAAATGCATCTTCCATGTGCTTTTTTCCATAACAGGACCATTGTTTCCTTGTCTATTGTGTACACAGTCGGGCAAGCAGTTTTGTCAATAGGTTCCATAAATGACCTGATGGATGGAAACAGGGATGGTGTACCAGATGACGTTAAGATTCCCATGTAAGTTGCAGCACATAATATCTGATTTCCACATGAATGCAAATTGGGACATATTAGAGATTCCATGTATCACAAATCCTCTGCTTATGACTGTTTTAATTGTCATAGCCTTGGTTCCGCTCTTTACTATTTCCTGTTACTCCTGTTACACAGCTTTATCTTGGTGTATCAATAAAACTCAAAATCTGCTTTGATGGAGTAAGTGCTTCAGTTATCATATTTTGATCATGGCTGGATTCCCCTTGCTTTCCAGTGTGGAACCTTTGCAGTCTTTCCTATCCTTTTAAATAGCAAACAACCTATTTTGTAACATATGCCTACAAACATATTGCCAGATACATGAAAATTTAGCTGGAAACTTGCCATAATCTTGCCCTTAAAGGTATTTTGCATTTTATCTGATGTAATAATGGATATGCCCAGAAGGAAGGAAAGATGTGTGATTCACACAACCGACAAAAATGCACTTTTTTTGCCTGAACGAAGAGTTTAGTCCATATTATCTTATAGAACTTTACATATTCATATATATTTATACCTACTACCTACTAGGGATCTCCATTTTTGCTAGCAGGCTGAACGGAAGATACGCGGAAGGGATGTGGTGGCGCTGCGGTTAAACTGCACAAACCTCTGTGCTGCAGGGTCAGAAGACCAGCAGTCGTAAGATGGAATCTATGCAGCGGAGTGAGCTCATGTAGCTTTGTCCCAGCTCCTCGCCAACCTAGCGGTTCGAAAGCATGCAAATGCGAGTAGATAAATAGGTACCACCTCGTTGGGAAGGCAAACACCGTTACGTGCCTAAGTCGCGCTGGCCACGTGACAACAGAAACTGTCTTCGGACAAATGCTGGCTCTACGGCTTGGAAACGGGGATGAGCACCACCCCCTAGAGTTGGACACGACTGACTAAATGTCAAGGGGAACCTTTACCTTTACCTGAACGGAAGATAGAGAAAGTTGACTGAAACTATTACTCCTTCTGATACAGCCAGTCCAAAGTGTTGTGTGGCTATCCTGCCAGTTAGGTAGTCCCCACAGCAACCAATGAATAACCACTGGGTTGTAGCTTGGGCAGAACTTGGGGTAAGGTAGGTCTGATGGACCTCAGTAGAAAAGCCTTCTGTCTGGTCCCCTACTCAGGCTTAACTACAGTCCCTATGTGCTGCCTTGTATATTCTACATATTCACATTTATTTATAAAACAGAATGTTATGTTGCTTTTAGCTTTGTTCTTGCCACCACACAAGTCAGGATTTTCTAGGCAGAAAGCATTCAGAAGTGGTTTACCATACTCGTATTCTGGAGTTGCTCTGAGACTGTGCAGTTTGCCCCAGGCTACACAGGCTGGCTCTTTTTCCAGGAAGCACAAACTCCCAACCTCTGGACCCACAGCCAGATACATAACTCATTGAGCTATCCAGTCAGCACACAAAATCCTCCCTCGTCGGGCTGACCAAGAAGTAAATCTATTGGATATAGTAAAGATGTTCTGAGTCAGTTAACATTTGCTTAATGCTGTTTTAAAATTTTGTCCACCTGTGGTTGCCTATTCCCACATTCAGAGTGATTCATTTTTGGGGTGAGCACATATACCATATATTGGGATCCCAAGGGATAGGTGGAGATCCCAATATATGCCGTAATTTGCTCACAAAGACACTGGCAGGTTCATCCTGATGCTAGGAGGTAAATGTGGCTGAATTAGCTTTGTATGTCCATGCACCCCAACTCATATGTTACTTTAAATCATGTTTGCCATTGCAGTGCTTTCTCCATGATTGGCTTGCTCCTGATTGCTCTTGGAACAGGTGGGATCAAGCCCTGCGTAGCAGCCTTTGGCGGAGATCAGTTTGAGGATCATCAGGTATTAGAGTTGTTGGACTCTTCCCAACCCATTGTGTACTTAGAAAACATAGGGCACATTTCTTTACTTGAGTTTGTTTATGAAAAGGGTTGCACTGGGATCCTGTGACATATAATTTATTTACAAAAGTGGAAATGCTACACAGCACTGCCAATGATCCTTGTCAGGATCCCATCTATACAGATGCAGTTCTTCAGAAGACATTCCCCAAAGTTTGCAATCTTCTTTCCTCTATGTGTGTTCTCCCGTTAAGCCATAGGGACACTTCAGCTTGTCCCTATGGCTGAAATCCACTTGTTTACATGTGGAAGACAAACAGCATAACATACTTTTAGCTGGAAATTAACAAATCACCACTGGTATTCTTGAACATGAACCAAGCCAGCAGGCATGTGCACCACTAAGAATCTCAGTAGCAACTCATTCCTTGCCAGCTAAAAGTCAGTGAATGTCACATGGTTTGCTTTCTCTGTGTGTGATTAAGCAACAGGGTTTCAGCCTATAAATACATCAATTCTTTCCCCTCTCGTATGTACATTGTCCTATCTGGAAGGATAGAGTGCAGTGGCAATAAACACTTCATCTTCTCTAATTATCTCCTAGAAAATCACTATTGATAAGTAAAAGCTATAGTTCCAAGGGCCCAAACTTACAATTAAAAGCAACTATTTGCCATTTCCAAAAAGTAACAATAATAATTACTTTCAATTATTTTTAAGAAAAAACATCTGAACATTTTAAGCCATTGGTCTGTGACATAGAACATACCATCCTCCTGTCCACCCTGTTGTTGCCTCAACACCCACAACAGAGTACTGTATAAGGCAACAACAGGAACAGCACTTGAACTATGTGATATTTCTCCTCAACCACTCAGGGAGATGATATGCCAGTAACTGTAAAAGTGAATAAAAAACTTACAGTTATACTGCAAAAGGAGTGTAGTTATCTTTCTAAGAAGTACACTTATAATGTAACCTAGTTATGCCCTAGTAATTGTAAAAATGAAATAATTGTAAATAACACGTTGCTTACTGTATAAATAATTACTTTGAATATTTAATCTTTTGGGCCTTTACCTATGATATCGCTAACACCTGACAACTTTGCTACTGATGGTTGCAGAATATGTGTTGCCAATTGGGCCTCATTACCCATATCATGTCTACCTTAAACCCACCACTAAAATAGCTTTTCTTATTCATTACAGTGGTCTTCCGTAACTATGCTTATTTATAGCAGCCCAGCCATTAATTTTATCATACATAATTTTAATATACAACCAAATCAATAGCCTTTGTCCTTTTATAATTATTAAATGGATGATGAATTAGATATGAATCCTTTTTAAAATAAGCACATAAAGTGTAGTTTATAATAATTTTCTTCTTTGCATTCCAGGAAAAACAAAGAAGCAGATTCTTCTCTATATTTTATTTGGCCATTAATGCTGGAAGCCTTATCTCTACTATAATCACTCCAATTCTTAGAGGTAAAAATTCCCCTAATACATATAATTCATTTTAAGGGAACTAACATCTTATTTAATACTTTGCCCCAATTAAGAGTCTATCATCCAGCAGTATTTTCTTAATTTAGTAAGACAAAAGGCCTTGGTAAAGATTTACACAAATATTTACACTATTTAGGAAAGAGGTGGCTGGATTGTCCCTAAATGTAGGACAGGATGATGTACTGGGAGCAACCATGTCGCAGTCAGTACTTTCTGCTCATGCACACAGGCATTGTTTGGAGAAGGCTCTGTTTAATTAATTTGAGCATACCAATGTAGAAATTGTTTGGCTAAAAGGCAGTGATTGATCAGTAACAATAGTAATAGAACAGACCTTTATTCGTTGCTGAAAATCATTATCCTCTGTCATGCAAATCTGAAATAAGATCTCTAAGATTTGATTAATGATTCATTACTTTGAATTTAATCTCCATATAAGCAAAACATCACCTAAGACTGAGAGACAAAATACAATCTGCAGCTAGACTCCGAAAAAAGTGTTCTTATGATGTTCTTATTTCTTTTTTTTAATTTAGAGGTAGAATGTGGAATTCATGCCAGACAAAAATGTTACCCTCTGGCATTCGGTATCCCTGCCATATTAATGGCTCTTGCATTGTGTAAGTATCTCACACTTCCATTTTCACTTGCTTTAATTCTCATTTGCAGTATTTTTGGTTAGGAAAATTGCAGTGGTCTGGTTGTCGACTGTATTTCCTCACCACAGTCCTCAGTGCGGTGAGAAGCCATGCCCCAAAAGAGAACCCCCAAGGCACCTTACCCTCTCTCTTTGCGAAGGAGCAGTAGGCAGGATTATACCAATTTTGTTAAGATTGGCACGACTGCAGTCCTGTTCACAGTTACTTGGGATTAAACTCTGTTGAACTCAGCGGTGCTAGATTACACTGATGGAAGAGACTGGGCATTAGCAAGAAATCTTTGGCCAGCTGAAATGCAAATTCAGCTTTTAAGCAGAACAACAGATAGTCTTGCCAAGTCTTACCATTTACATCACTAGAGTGAAATGGAAATCTCCTCAATGAAAAGAAGCATACAGCTGCTACTTGATTACTCCCCTCTTTCTCAGTCCTTCTCTATGTCAGTGTTTCCTAACTTTAGGTAACCCAGGTGGACTGCAATTCCCAGAAGCCTTGACCAACAGCTGTGCTGGCTGGGGTTTTTGGGAGTTGCAGTCCAGGAACATCTGGGTTACCCAAGGTTGGGAACCACCGCTCTGTGATAATCGGCCCCGAGAAATACTGCCACTTGAAAGCCTCAGAATGAACTCATGGCTGGGGAGGAGGGATTCTGGGATCTGCAGGCCCTAAAGTTAGCTTCTCCAAGCTCTTGGTATAAAGAGAAATTCTATGCAGAGCTAAGCAAGCTGTAAATTTTCTCCACGGAGAGATTGCATCCTAGGTTCTTGATGTGGTTACACATCTTGCTTCCCATTTTTTTCACTTGCATGATATTTGCATGCTCCTTCAGAGACAATAGCAGATTGTGGTGTTCTTTATTTTTCTTTGCAGTGGTGTTTATGGCTGGAAGTACAATGTACAAGAAAGTAAAGCCTCAAGGTAACATAATGGTCCAAGTCGCTCAGTGCATCACGGTAAGCAATGTACAATACAGGGCTACTAGCATTGTCATGGGTAGCAGTGTTTACCTGAACTTGAGCCTAAGGAGAAGCAGAATGGTTCATTTTTGGACTGAATCCAATTAATGTGCTTTTAGGCTTGCCTCACCAAGTATGTAATGTATACGTACTGTTTATCATGCAACATGCTGCTTCCTGAACGTCTGTGTTAGAAATGTATCCTAAATCTCTACAAGGTGGTTGTTCTAAGCTAACAGAATATTCTTTATGACATGGAAATATGATTTCAGTTAGCAGTGTTGTTCTAGATTTTCCCTCAATTCTAAGTGTCTGTCTGGGTTAGGCACATCTAGATGTCCTAAAACATCATGGGGGGAAAATTGAAAACTGTACAAAGAGTCTGAGGGGATGTTAAAGACTAATGAGTTTTATTTGGCATAAGCTTTCACTGACTGCAGCAGCCCACTTCACCAGATGCATGTCCACATCCAAGCGCAGGTCACAAAAATTTATGCTGGATAAAATGTGTTAGTCTTTAAGGTGGCATGAAGTTCTTTGTTGTTTTTCTTACAACAGATTAACAGGGTTATTTCCCAAGAAACTGTCAATAGCATCTATTTCTAGACATATAAGAGGGAACAAAAAGATGTGGACACAATATTGATTCAATCATGCTAAGTAAAAACTCATACTCACTCTCTTGCATTTCAGTTAGTTAAATTAGGAAACTTCTTGCAGTTATTGATGAATATAACTGGTGAAAAACAGTTGTATTAACAATTTGCAATTGTGTTCTTGCAGTTTGCTGTTCGAAACAGATTCAGACATCGTAGTAAACAATATCCAAAGAGGGAACATTGGTTGGACTGGGCTCGTGAAAAATATGATGTAAGTTGCTGTGCTATTTGTCCTTATAACAAAAAGAAAACAAAATCAAAAATATTGTCGTACTTTTAAGCCTAACAGATTTATTTTTTTTCAATGTGAGGTTTCATAGATTACAGTCCACTTCATCAGACATATTATGTACAATATGGAGCCTACAATACACATAGTTGTAGATATAAGAGGCGGTGCATCATGGCCTCTCTCAATTTGAAGAGACCCTTGTCCAGCAGGCCGAGGCAAAGAGGCAATCCTGAAGCCAGCAAAATCAGGGAGCTGAACAGGGGACAGATTGTATTGGTCTTCAGTGTGGAAGGGATTGTCACTCTCAAATTGGCCTTCTCAGCCACACTAGACGCTGTCCCAAGTCCTGCATACAAAGCATGTTACCATAGTGTCTCGAGACTGAAGTATGCCTAATCTGAAAAAAAGTAAAGTAAAATGGGATGCAGATACAGGCAATGAACTTTCTAAGTAGCAATAGCTTTATTTATAATTATTATTATCTTTTGCACAGGTAATGAACTTCCAAAGTGATTACATAAACAAACTGATAAAAGACAGGAAAAAAATAGCTAACATAAATAATTACATTATTTTTTGATGGCTGTCTTCAAACTGTTTTAGAAATGACAGAAAGGAGTTGGATGTGCTAGAGGCAGAGTTTAATGAAAGAAAATATTTTTTAACTGTGGAGAAAACCAGCTTATTAATATATAATAATATGTTATATTTTCAGGTTTTTCTAAGTAGAGAGTACTTAGAAGTAATTTACCATTCCCTTCTTCTGGAGTCATCCTGGGCCTGTGCAGCTTGCCCAAGGCCACACAGGCTGGCTCTACTTTCCTGAGCACAGTGGGGAATTGAACTGTCAACTTTGGTACCTAATCTACTGAACTATCCAGCCAGTTTAATTAAACTAAATAGCCCTGGTCTCTATTTAAGGCATGAAACGGGGAAGCTTTGTCATCCCAGGTGGCTATCTGCCTTGTTGCTGCACCTCACAGAGGATTTGTCAGAGACTCTGGATGCCAGGATGCCTAAGGATGTAGACAGCAGGGGGAAAGGGGGCAGGAACCAAAGGGGAGGAGCAGCTGCTCCAGGGAGAGAGAGCACAGGCCGTGTGGGCTGGCAGGAAGGGGGATAAAGGAAGAGGAGGAGAAAGAGGAGGGAAGAGCAGCCACCTACCTTTTACATGCTGGCGAAAGACTGCCCTTGCTGTTTCAGGATCCCGAGTGGGGAGAGGGTCATTTTCCCTCACCAGGGAGTGGTTACAGTGGTGGCAGGCTTATCTTCTCTCCTCCTGAGTCCTTGAGATGGTGTTCAGACACCACCAGGCAGGGAAACTGACCACAACCCACAGGAGAAGCTGGAGGTGAAACCAGCATCACCAACACCTCACCAGGCAGCTCTTGGAGCTGGTGCACCCGCGATCTCTTGAAATAGCCAGGAGGTATTGGACCTCATGATGTTGTACAAATCACACCTTTAAAAGACATGCATGTGTCACTCTGCTTTGGAATGTACAAAAAAGAGAGCAGCATCCAGAGTCAGACAGCTGGTGCTAGTGACCAAAATTCAGCCCAGCTCTGGATTTGAGACAGTTGTGAACCAAGTGCTCACCTGAAAGGCATGCCTGGCAGCATCTACTGACTGGAACTGAGCCCCAGCAGAGTCGAAAGGACTGGGAAGGTGGACGCCTAGTGACTGGAACTGAGCTTCCACAGGGACAAAATGAATGGGAAATTTGGAGTTTACGGGGACGTATTGTTGCACCTGCATCTTCTTGAAAATTCACTATCCTAAATTGTCTATATCATATTTTACTTGGCCCTTGCTCCTCACAACCATGTATGCTGTGTATATTAACCTGAGGCCTACACATTGTATTCCACATGTCTGAGGAAAGGGAATGTAATTCACAAAAGCTCACACTAAAATACATCTGTTCATCTTAAAGGTGACTGACAATATTTCTGTTTTTATTTTGTTTTGTCTTGTATTTTTTGTACATTCCAAAGCAGAGTGACACATGCATGTCTTTTAAAGGTGACGTGGTGGCGCTGTGGGCTAAACCGCAGAAGCCTGTGCTGCAGGGTCAGAAGACCAGCAGTCATAAGATCGAATCCACATGACAGAGTTCCCCCGTCACTTGTCCCAGCTCCCGCCAACCTAGCGGTTCGAAAGCATGCAAATGCGAGTAGATAAATAGGGACCATCTCGGTGGGAACGTAAACAGCGTTCCGTGTCTAAATCACACTGGGCATGTGACCACAGAAAAGATTGTCTTCGGACAAACCCTGGCTCTATGGCTTGAAGAGCGGGATGAGCGCCGCCCCCTAGAGTCGGACACAACTGGACAAAAATTGTCAAGGGGAACCTTTACCTTTACCTTTACCTTTGCCCCTCACAACCATGTATGCTCTGTATACTAACCTGAGGTCTACACATTGTACTCCACATGTCTGAGGAAAGGGAGTGTAATTCACAAAAGCTCACACTAAAATACATCTGTTCATCTTAAAGGTGACTGACAATATTTCTGTTTTTATTTTGTTTTGTCTTGTATTTTTTGTACATTCCAAAGCAGAGTGACACATGCATGTCTTTTAAAGGTGACGTGGTGGCGCTGTGGGCTAAACCGCAGAAGCCTGTGCTGCAGGGTCAGAAGACCAGCAGTCATAAGATCGAATCCACATGACAGAGATCCCCCGTCACTTGTCCCAGCTCCCGCCAACCTAGCGGTTCGAAAGCATGCAAATGCGAGTAGATAAATAGGGACCATCTCGGTGGGAACGTAAACAGCGTTCCGTGTCTAAATCACACTGGGCATGTGACCACAGAAAAGATTGTCTTCGGACAAACCCTGGCTCTATGGCTTGAAGAGCGGGATGAGCGCCGCCCCCTAGAGTCGGACACAACTGGACAAAAATTGTCAAGGGGAACCTTTACCTTACCTTTACCTTTGTACAACAGCTTAAGATCCGATCTCCTTTATGCCATGTATCTCTTTGCTCTTTGCATGGACCTATTCTTGTTTTGTGACATGTTTTCTGTCAAAGCTGCAAAAAGCAGCATCCAGAGTGTATTGTTAAGGCACACCAGTTTATTTAAATTAAGATTATGGATGTATTTTTTTTAAATTGCATTTGTATTTCATCTTTCTCCCGGCATAAGAGCCAAGACAGCTTACAACATTAACTGAAAGAGATATCATTTTAAAACCCCCATCAGATAAGATGTTTAAAAAACAACAAGGAAAAAACACACTTATATAGTTGTAGCAGTAAACACAAGCACTGGACTAAGCACTAATTTTTTGGGGAGTCATCACCTCTTTTTAAGTATAAGTGGTAGATCATATTAACTAGATATAAGCAGCTGGGGAAAAAACCAGCCCTCAAAGGGTGTTTGAATCCACACACTTTAGAGATTCAACAAGTGTTGCAGGTTCAAATTACTTATCAAAAAGCCCCATGCGTGAATATCATTTAGAACCTTACACACCTCTCAGTTATGTCCTGCCAAATATTGGATTGTATATTTACACATGTCCATGAGAAGTAAGGGATGTTGTCAGAGCAAGTTGGGGCTAATTGACAAGATATGTTCCCCATGTTCTTTTCCCCGTTTTTGTGATATGTTACCTAATATCTTGTATCATTACATTTGGTTTAACCAGTTTAGGCCCCTGTATTCTGGTTTATATGATATGAATGTTATCTTTTCCTGGTATTTCTCTTTCTTCCAAAAAAAATCTGATTATAGCCAATAATCAATTTTTATCAGAGGGTACTTTGAGGAGAGAAAGACAGGTCAGGCACCTCTGCCTCCCTCTTCTACAGAGCCTTGGTTCACAGGTCAGGGCATGGGAATGTCTTGATTAACAGCAAGATGTCTTTTAAAGGTGTGATTTGTACAACAGCTTAAAATCCGATCTCCTTTATGCCATGTATCTCTTTGTTCTGTCTTGATTAACAGCAATAGTGATGTCATCTGCCATTTCTCTATACCCCTCAGCTCTCCATGTTCCTTCTCAGGTTAACTGTAGTCATCACCTTAGCCAAAGGTGAGAGAATGAGAATGAATTGCTAATCCTAGCAACAGCATATTGCTGTGAAGTATCCTTGTTGCAATAAACAGTATTAAGGAGTGGTTTGGGCTATTATGACTTGTTGGTTTTACAAAAGACCTGCTCCTCATAAAGATGAAAACTTCAAGAAAGAGTTTGCTGAAGTGAATCAAAATATTTGCTGCACATTTTTTGAATTCTCCTTGGGATGTGACTATAAGAACTGCTAGGCTGAGCACCTGCACTTCCGTATTCTTTGTTCCATCCCAGCCCACTTCTCTACAAATTATTGCTGATTGAGGCAGTCTGATGGGGAATGTAATCCTGTTGGTTCTCCTAGATCTCTTAGCTGTTTTTGATACCATCAACCTCAGTCTCTTGTTGAACTAGATATCAGGATTAGGGATCAGAACATTGGCTCATCAGAGACTCCAATCCGTTTTTGATGGCCATGTCCAGAAAGTTCAGCTCAGCGACTTATTGTCCAGACTAAGATGGTGTTGAAGGTGTTGTTCCTATATATTCCTCTCCCCATGTTCTGGGCACTTTTTGATCAGCAGGTAAGTTGAGTGAAGGATTTTAAGAACAATTTACTTATATGTTTATAATCTTAGGGTCATGCTTCCTCCCCTAAGGGTCAAGATATACCCTTAGGTATGCACTTCTTATTTTTAAATAGTAATGGTGGTTGTTTTGTGCTACTATTGGTAAA